ATCTATGAGCTCAAGTATATCTTATCGTTACCGCAACATTGACCTTAATTATTATTATTATTGTTATTATTATTACTGTATTTCCCCCTTTACTTATTTCTCATATTCTCATTATTTTATTCATAATTGCTCATAATATCACTTTACTTGTCATTTTGCACCTCTATGACCTTTAATTATCATTAAATAATGTAACAAAACATTTTAATCACCTTCCTACACTCACATTATAATTCGTTACTAACTTATTACGTCTATTATTATTATTACTATTTGTATTACGTAATCTGGTATTATAATCTTTCTACAAGAACTTTCGTCTACATTTTATCAAATAGTTTCACAGTATTTGGGGGTGCTGAGTTGATGTGAGACATAAATGAGGAAGAATGTTATATTTATAAAATCTCAACGAATGAATTTGAAATGAATCCAACTCTTCACCTGTCAATCTCGTTAAAACTTTTTCAAAGACATTTAATCAAGTGTCAAAATTGTCGATTTGTTTGGTTGATTGTTTACTAAATAGGTTATCTGATCAACGTGAACATCATGAGTTGATCAATATTAAACCATCCGTTCATGATCTCAATTAAAAATGAACAACTTTCACAATCCTCTACTAATAATCATCATGTGTTCAATACTGACTAACTGAGAGATGAAATTCTCGGAGTTCTAGTAACAAGCTCTGTCTAGTAGAGTTAACCGTGCTGAGTGTGAGGAAGTTACTTACCAGAGACAATGGATCGTTTAATGCTGTCTTAGTGATCTAGAAATTCAAATGAAACCGAAGGTTCTTGGTTCGAGTCCTGGATGCGGGTTGTGGGTGGGTGTTGCTGAGTCGTCCTATAGTAGGTCAAAAAGGTCATCCATTGCTTTCATGCTTTTAATGATCGTCTAATATTGATGGTTTCGTGATCTCAATAAAATCTCGACACTCTTTACAACCCAATACATACAACCTAAGTTTTATTGAAAATATCTATAAATTAGCGGTTTGTAATAACAAGCAATTCAATTTATGGTTTCAGTTAGTTGTAATAGTTATGTAAACATTTACTTATCTTTAAACAAAATTAGTCAAAATATTCTCCAAGCTGATTAAATAAAACAATTTAAACATGCTTAGTGATAATTATAGTAATAGTAATAATACTAATAGTTCTTTTCTGTATTAAATCTCTAGTACACTACAGAATTCTTAGAATAATGTAAGAAGTATAAGTAAAACACGTTTTGATTAAATCTAACACATTATTTTCTAATATCGGAAGGGTTTTTGTGGATATTATAGTAATTTCAATAGTTGAGGTTATGAGTCAATTGAGGCTAGACCACCATGGAAAACCTGGAAGCACTAGGTAGCCGTTTCGTCCTATTATGGGACTCCTCAGTAGTGCGCATCCACGAGTTTCGAACCTGGGACCTATCGGTTTTGCGCGCGAACTCTTAATCTTCAGACCACTGAGCTGTCCCGCATCCAATGGTGTTAATGTCTAACTTCAATTAATCTACGAAAGTGAGCAACATATCCACTATAATCTTTAGTGAGTTACTATCTTTCAACAGACCCGGTTGAACATAACTTTTCACTTCTTCATACAATCAAATGTTCTGATAAAATGTAGATTTTAAAATATGACCAGTTATATTTAATCTATAGCCTGGATCAAATTTTTATCAGTTTAAGTTACCCTACATTATCAGTTGAACATGATCGATATCAAAGAATTTTGAATAATTGTAGTGTACTACTGATATGGACAGATATTAGTAGTATGTACTATCAATTGAAAGTAAACTCCCTGACAACAGAAGTTTAAGAAAATCGAACAGAAAAGAATGACAGCAGAGAATTATTGCTATGGAAACGAAAGAGCAATGAAGTATCAGACAACTGATGAACAGTTTGTAAATAAAGTTTTACTGTATGTTTCTCAAATTCTCTAATTTTGTTCAAATACATTTGGTTGCACCCACTAGTATTCTCGTTTACTACAGTACAAATGATTTTAAGGTAAATACAAATGAAACAATATTGATATCAAAGAACATGCGAACTGAATGCAACTACTTGATGTTGAATAAATCATTCATAACGATTGAAAGCAAAGGATGACTTATTATTTTTACGTATTTAATATTGACTATCAATTGTTCATTAGTTAGCGGTCAAGTGATTCATACTTATCTGATTTTCGGGTTAGATATTCCTTAGTAATTCTGTGTTCTCTGAGTTTGGATAGTTTACTCCTGATGTTTCACGTTTCACGGCCTTGATCATTACTATCTACTTCAATGTATATGCTGAAAATGTTATCAAATAGGATAACGAGACCTTCCCTTGTGAAGCATATTATTTCTAGTGAGAAACTGTGACCAGTGAAGTTGAACAAGATCTGTTGTGAGATTCTAACTCACTGAACACAATCATGGACGGTGACGCAATTACGTGGATTGGTTGAAGTTAGACATTAATACCGTTGGATGCCAGTTCACTGGTCTAGACGTTAAATGTTCGGGTGCGTGACCGATAAGTCTTGGGTTTGTTTTCGCAAGCCGGATCGTGAATGCGCGCTGCTGAGTAGTCCTGGCAAGATCATAATTTATGGACAAACCAATCACGTTTAAGGTAACAGGTCTTGGATTTTGGCGCGAAATTCACTTATCCACTTGAATAAATAAAGTTTTGGCATTATAGTTAATGTCAGTTCGTGATGAGAACCAAACATTTAATTCCTAATCATCAACTGTAAATGATAATTATAATTCTTCACACAAATTTATAACCCTCATTTAGTTCTGGTCATTAGGTGATTACTTTCAAGGTCAGTCTAGCGTCCCTCACAGGTTATCCATAAATAGACGTCTAATACTTCCAGGTTTCCAACGAATTCAACTATTAAAGGATCAATTCGCTAATCATAATCAATCCATTTGATTTTAATCTATTTCTATTTTCAATAAATTAAACCATCATTAGTAATAAATATTCCTGTGGATAATATTAATATTATGATTACTTCATTAGGTAAATAGTTACTAGAAGAAGAATAAAAACAAGAAGTAAAGAAAAGAAAAAAATCAATAATTTCTTTTCAAAACTAATATCATTTGTTTACAATGTATAGATCCAATCAAATATACTACTCATTATTATATTAATATTAATATTATTATAGTACAGAATACTAAGTCATAGTTTTAATTGATTAAAGCTGAATCACTTGGCTATACACAGTATATAAAAGGTATATACATACAGGGGACAATTATTCATGAATAACGAATGAGCATTGAATCACATCAATGTTAATATTGTTATTAAATTGGTTATTATAGTTTCCTATTTATTATTATTATTATTAATATAACTCGAATGGTACATTGAACAACATTATCCTGAGCAAATAACTTGACAGTTTTCAATATTCAATGTTTATGTTTGGAGAAAAAAAAATAAAGGTGATATAATAATGAATCTGGCAAAGCCATATATTTAAACCAGAAAAAAAAATAGAACAGAAATCTTTTCATGTATTTTTAAGATACTTTTGTTTCTGATGATTTTTTTTATTTGCCATAACATTGGCAACAACAATGACAGGTATGGTTGTGTTGCCATGGTAACAGATGATTTATTTTAAAAGGATAGGGATAATATTAGTTTAAGTATTTGTTTAATCATTTGAAAAATGTCTTCTTGTTAAATAGTTTTTTACTCGTTTATTTTTCATGAAATAATCAAGTTATTGATTGACGTTGTTCGTTATAGAGAACCGTATTTTAAATCAAATGAGAAAGCCATAAAGTAATTTTTTTGATATATAAAAATAATTATTCTTTTCAGTATCGACAATAAAATTGGTTTTTCACTTTTGTCTGAAGCTCGTCAGTAGTAGTGGTAGTAGTAGTAGTAGTAGTAATAGTAGTAGTAGTAGCAGTAGTAGTAGTAGTAGTAGTAGTAATAGTAGTAGTAGCAGTAGCAGTAGTAGTAGTAGTGAATGAGAACATTAAAGGGGACAATCGAATGTATTTCAATATACGATTATATAACCTGTTAGTGAAATCTAAGTATCATACAGTAAATACTTGATTCGCAAAATGTCCATCAATTGTCTTAGACTGGATTGTTCCTTCATTTCTACATTAATAACTCTCTGTTCTCGTTCCCTCTTCTTCGGACTTTTTAAACTTCTGCTACTAAGTATTTCACTTTTGATTGATTATAAATGCTACTGATAACTGTTAATTTCAGTAGTATATACTACAATAATACTGTTAAGATCAAAGACTTTATCTATCATGTTTGTTGTTGTTAGATACATGTTTTTTTGTGTAAAATCAGGAAGGTTTATGCCAAACAATACTAATGATAGTAATATTATTTTGATAAAATATAAAAGACTTTAACACATAAAACGAAATTTCTAATGTATAATCATTTATAGTCGGATCAAATTTGTATAGTGTAGTCATTCTTTAGTTAAATTCTTCAGTTTGATTTTTCATTGAGATCACGAATCAACCGATTTTAGTCCATAATTGAAAATCTGGAAGGACTCTACGGTCGTCTTGCCTTAATATGACACTCCTCAACCGTGAGCATCTATGATCCCGAAAGCCGTATTCGAACGCAAGATCTTCAATCTTGCGGGTGAACACTTAACCTCTAGACCACTGATTTGGCCAGTATTCAACAGTGTCAATATTTAAGTTCAATTAATCCAGTTTGATTTTAAAAAAAAACATAGAAACTGTACATTTTATCGGTTACAAAAATACATTCATCACAAATTATTTATCTATGCCTTTTACTTAACCGCTGAAATATCTCGAAAACAGACAAGTTACCAAACATACACACAGAGACAGAGAATAATAGAGTGTACCTTACAATGTGTTGGTATAAAAAAACAAACAAAACAAATCAAACTACAAAAGAATGATTATAACAATAAAATACTTGTAAAGAACAAAAGAAAAAAGTAACTTACTGTACTGCACAATCCAATTTCAATCAATAAATTTAATAACCAAATACTAATGAATTGTAATTTTTGTTTATTTATGCACATATTACACCTTTTTTTGTCTAATATATACGTATGTATTTATATGTGTGTTCAAGTGTAATTGTAAGTGTGCGTGCGTGCGTATATCTATCTATAGATATGTGATTACTTGTATCAATTACAATTATGAATTGGAATTTCTTTAACACTCTAATGTTCTAATGTAATCGGTTTTATGGATAGAAACAACAAAAATGCAATTTGTTGATGATGTAACCGTTTTTTCCTTGTTAAAAACGTTTCTGACAAAGGAAAAATTAAGAATAATTTCTCTTAGTATATTGAATTGGAATGAAGTCAATTGTATAAATGGATTACAGTACTTAGAATAGTAATAAGTGTATGAATAATTTTTTCCCAAAAAATGCAAACGATTTTAAATTACCGTTCATGATGTCATCAATTTCTATTGGTTATTTCAGAAATAACCAATCAGCGATAAGGAAGTATAAATTTATAAAAATATGTAATATATTTGAGAATTATAAGAGTTAAGTAATCGGAGGGGAAAAAATATGATTCGTGTATTGTTTTGAAAGTATATTTGTCGCAATAATTATAATAATATGGATCAGTCATTGAAAACATTCTTAGTCGAAATGTAATGTGTACTACTAATGTTGTCAAATATAAGTAGTATGTATCATCAATGGAAAGTAAAATGCCTGAAAGGTAGAAGATTGAGAAAATTGAAGAGTACAAATACAGAGAATGATTAGTATGGAAACGAAAGAACAATGAATTCTGAGACAATTTGGTAGTTATTTTGAAAACGAATTATTTATTATATGGTTCTTACATTTTATTAAGAGAGTCTGTAATTTTGTATTGAAATACTATCCGGTTGTTCATAGTAATGTTTTCATTCCCGATGGAACGACTAGAATATCATGTTTAGGAATGAACGGTGTATTGGAAAGAGATTGTAATGACGTTAAATAGTATTTGTAATCATCTTTGACTTCAGATATAAAATTTTTTATGTCATCACAAATGTGATGTGAATAGAATTTGATGTAATGGAATCAAACTAACCAGGTATACTGTAAACACAAAATATGAGTAACAAGAAAATTTTTAATAACTAATATTCAATAATAACAATAATCAAAAGTGTTTTGATTGAGTTTATGAATCGGTTGATGTTAAACACCCATTGAAAACCCGTAAGCACTGGAAAGCTGTTTCGTCCTATTGGGACAACTCAGCGATATGCATCCAAGATCCCACTCACGGGATTCAAAATGATAATAATCAAACACTTAAAACATGTCTTCATAATTTCACAAGTACAGAGAAATATAACCATACGTATCAGGTATCTTTAAAGAAGAAGTGATCAACAATGGAGACCATAAATAATAGTAATAACCTTGTTTATCGGATAAAATGTTACAATTTTCCCTAGATTCTTGAGAATTTCTGTGTGAAGCGATTCATATGATGAGTAGATTGGAACTGAATAAAATTCAACTTTGATAAAGAACCACAAATGCTATAACTGAGTAGTTTTATCTTCTGGATTCCATCAGTAAATGTAAACGATTCATCGCTGCCGAACACATTCCAACTTGTATTTATCATTAATTTAAACTACTACGTAAAATCAAAATACAGCATTTTAAAAAAGGTTCATGTTATAACTTGTAGCCTATTGCCCTATAAATATATAGCGTAATGATACCACCAATTGGAGAACTGTGGCTTATTGACCGAACCAATGACGCATAAAACCCGTACGAACAGTCTACACTACTTATTGGTTCTTCATCTTGAATAGTCTTACCTGTTACGTCCAGAACACCAATCTCAGCATCCACGATATGAATCTTGCATTTCGAACATACTGGGTTTATATACAAGCCAAACAGACCACATCGTACAATAAAATAATAAAAAAACAGCATTTGTACAAGTTCTTACCAATATTGGCTGTAGTTGTGGTAGACTGTAATTAATAGACTGACCAGAACTCAACAACGATAAATCGTAGAATAATAGTCTATAGATCAAAATAAAGCTTTTGATAGAAGAAATACGAATATGAATAGCTTAGTTACTTAACAATCGTACGACAAAAATATACGTATAGTGTTAATTTATAAATAGATCCCAACAGTTACCATTCAATATTCCTATCAGGATATAACAGGTCGATACGCTATACATTGAAACAAGGGAGTGACAATTATTAAAGTTATGTAAAATACAATTAGAAGATTGGAGTACATTAAAACTCTTTATCTATCAATTATTTAATTCATGATTGTGTATTAAGCGAAAAAGTTAAAACAAATCATGAATTGATTGAAACTAGATGTGTACACTAATGGGTACTGATTCAAAAGTATAAAGTTTAAAAGTTCGCTTGTTTACATCAATGATTCTAGGTTTGATTTGCTATGTTGGGTTAGTGGATGTACACTACTGAGGAGTACTATCCCACTGTGTTGTGTGCTACTGATGTAGTATGTATCATCAATCGAAAGTGAAATACTTAGCAGTAGAAGGTTAAGAAGTTAGAAGAAAAATGAATGAGAACAGTGAATGATTGCAAATGTTGTATTTACTGTATGGTTCTCAGATTTGATATTTTGTAATATTACGCCTGAATACATTCGATTTTTCCCATTTTTGTTCTCATTCACTACACAATAACAAGATAGATGTCAAATAGTTTTACTAAGACCAGTGCATAATTTAAAATTATAAGATGGAACAATTGCCATCAATCCCTTAAAAAAAACTTTATAAATAACGAATAAAACATACTAATCACAACTTCAATGAACTCAGACAAAATTAACTTCATTTTTTTCTTAATTTAAAGGTCAATAGTTTATTTCTCACCATAATTTTTGTTGTTGTTGTTGTTGCTGAGATTCATTAACTGGTGTTAATTAATATTTCACTCATGGTTACTGCCTCTGGCGTTTGTTTAAAGACCTAACTTAATTAAAATGTTAGTCGTTAAGTGATATTGTAGAAATAATCAATTATATAAATTATCCAAGCAGTAAGCTTTTTTTAATTATGAAAATAGAGATGGATGGTAGCTAGTAGTGGAATTCATGGTGCATGTTACGTTCTAATTAGAACTAATCAGCTGGATGTACCTGTATCTAAATACAAAAAAAAATATATTAAGCTTCACTCTATTGCGCAAACTGGTGGCTATCTGGAGTAGTTAGTTAAGTGGATGAAGTGATAATATTTGAAGTAAACAGTATTGGGTTTAAGTCTTGGAGTGAATATCAACTGTGGGATACAGGTATATCCGGCTGACGCGTCCTAAATAGAACGAAACGCGTATTCTGGATTCTGCTGATGACCACCATTCATTTTTGCTTATAATGCTTGTGATTTAACGCATTATCGATAAAATCAGCACAGGATACACATATGCCAATAAGAGACTGATTAATTGCAGTCCTAAATATCAATAAGAAGATTCTAACACACTATACGAAAATGAATTTATAATTTTTTTTCGTTTGAAATACATACAATAAGATTGTAATTAAAGCAGGTAATCTCGATGATACTAGGTTAGTTACTAACTTTCAAATTACTGTATGATAGTTGTCTGATGTCACGAATCGATTAAAGTTAGAGCTTCAGACTGTTGAATATCATCTGATTAGTTTATAAAATTAATCAGTCACCTCAAGACCTGATAGTTCTGAGTTCAGTTCTTATTAAGATCATGGATACGTACTGTTAAGTAGTACCGTAACAACTGTCTTTTCACTAGTTTTCTAACTAAGGTCCGGTTGTAGTTTCAGTAACATTATAATAATCTTTATAAACCACCATAATGAAAAACAATTTATAAATGAGGATGAAAAAGTTATTGAATTATTGTCTGGTCAGTAAAATAAATATTTCTTAGATATATGAATTATATAATTACTTACTTATGCCTGTCACCCTTTGTTGAGGAGTATAGGCCACCTACTAGCATACATCATCGAATTCTGTTGTAGACAATGCCTTCTAATTATTTTCAGTTTCTGTTCATTCTTTTCATGTTTGCTTTCAATCACTTTCAACAGAATGTGTTCTTTGATCTTACACTTTAACGTATCCCTTCAACATATAATAAAATAATGATTGATAAATAGTAAATCAAGACTATAGTTAAGGCTTATTTAACATTTTAAAACAAAATGATGTTTTCTCTTTATTAATGTATTATTTTACTGATATACTGAAGTGTTGAGAAGATCTGCAATACTCAATAATCATTCTTCTTTTTCGAAATAGATAGATAGAATAGATGTATAGATGACTTGATGAAATACCATAACTGAGATTGTTGATTAGACATAGAGATTTACTTTGATAATGAAAAAAACAACTAGTAAATAATATACAAATGAATTGTTATCTTTGTGATACTCAGTAACTCATTATGCTACTTGCTTACTTACTTATTTACTTACGCCTGTTACTCTTAATGGACCATAGGTCGCATTCTTCAACCCACTCTGTCCTGGGCCTTCCTTTCCAGTTCTGTCCAGTTGTTGTTCATTTTTCTCATGTCTGTTTCCATTTCTCGGTGTAATGTGTTCTATGAAGTCTCTTTATGACAGCTCCAAGTATCATTATTTCAGCAAGGAGCAAGACGATAAAGCACAGCACCCAAATAGTTATTAAGACACGAATCTCTTCTCATTCTACGATAAAGAAGGGGAATGAAATTAGATTACTTAAGCTGTTCCTCGAAGATAGGGCTAACGTATACATATAACAATACAGGGCAGTACATTATGTGAGTAAGTTTATTTAACTCACAGAACAAAGCCAAACAAATCTTAGTCTATGTCAAAGTAACAAATGTTCCAAGTTCATATTTATGCTGTTGAGTTATAGGCAGTTGTTAGTTTATTGCTGTGTAAAGGGAAATATTCCCCTTGGTATTAATCTTAGCATGATGGTTATCACTTACTGCCCGAACGGTTGACACCAAACATTTTATCAATATTACTTACATACTTACACCTGTTACTTCCAATGGAGCAAGGGCTGCTGAACTGCATTCTCCATCCCAATCCGTCCTGTGCCTTCCTTTCTAGTTCGATCCAACTGTTGTTCATTCTCCTCATTTCTGTCTCCATTTCTCTGCGTAATGTGTTCTTTGGTTTTCCTCTCTTCCTTTGGCCTTCGGGATTCCATGTGAGGGCTTGCCTTGTGACACAGTTGGGTGCTTTTCTCAATGTGTGTTCTATCCACTTCCAGTTTTTTTTCCTGATTTCTTCCACCGCTGGCACCTGGTTTGTTATCTCCCACATTAGATTGTTGCTGATAGTGTCTGTCCAACGGATCCAAAGTATTTTGTGTAAACA